TTTCACTAAAATTAGAGATTTGTGAGACTTGATATGGTCAAATAAGTCTTCTAAGCGCATTGTTATTCACACTCTAAAATTGTGGACAGTAGATAAATAAAACAAGAGAAGTGGTAGATTATGTTAATATGTATATAGGAAAAGGATGGAAAGTGCACCACATGCTGATGTGTCGTATATCTTTGGAACAGCCTCCCTGTTGCAGTCTGCCTGGTGCTGAGCTTGTCATTCTTTCAGCAGCAAGTTAAGATAGCCCTTTATTCTGAGGGTTTTGTTTTACACTCTGTTATACATAATAAATAATATACCTTTAGATTTAGGGTTTCACTTAGGATAAAGAATAAAATAATCTTGTTTTTTATTGACATTTTAGTCTGAAAACTTGTTAATACAATCTTATGGTCAACTTTTTAGCCTAAAGCTTTTGGTTTTAGTTCCTTGATTGAACTATTTTAGATTAGGTATTTTCTGAGTTGCTTGTAAGCTACCTTTCTTATTTTATGGAAAGGTGGTGGCCAGGAATCTTGGATTCAGAGAAAACGAATTAGATCTGATTTCAGAGGATCTGATATTACTGATCAATAACTGAGTTGTGTACTTGCATTTCATTTATACCTAGTTCTCTAAGGCTAGCAATGAAAAATGATCTAATTTGTTGGTAGCAATAATGTTGAAGCATTATCTTTCCCATTGCTGTGAGAGAACTTAAAACAATTCACTGCTGATACCAGGGCTTCATAAACTGTTTCTTTGGCACAGGTAAATTACCTTTCTAGAAAGATTTACTAAAGTAACCATGTAGTGTAACTTATATGTTCTTTTGGCATTTAGAGGGATTTAGTCTTCATGCATGAAAAGTGGCCATACCTATCTTACTGTAAGGTAAGAGTGGCAGCATGTAAATCAGTTAATCACTGACCAGTTTCTGAATACATACCTAGTGCCCAGTTGGTTGGTGAGACTGGAGAAAAGAATACTGAACCAGATGGATCTTCATTTGATAAAGCAAAGCAGTGATGTTCTCAGATAGTTCTGAATATACTTAACACGAATAGATTGTTTCTTTGATATATACATTTTTTACTGTCTAACAAAAATATGTAATATATCCCCATGATCAGTCTCTGTACCAGAGGACTGGGGTGTGACAAATGTAACACCCAATTTTTAAAGACAGATCCATGGGGGATTTATGAAATTACACTCTGATTAACATGATATTTGTTCCAGGGACATTGGTAGAAAGTATTATTAAATATAAAGTTAACAAGTGCTGTTTAAGGACAAGTTCTTCATTAAAAAAAATCAGCATGGCTTCTCTAAAGGTATGCCCTGTGTAACTAACATTTTAGGGTTGTTTGAAAGTGTCAATAAACATGTAGACAAGTAAACATTGTTACTTGGACTTTCAAAGGGCTTTTGACAGTTCTTCACCAAAAAGTGAACTTAGTAATCATAGGATAAGAGGAGAGGCTCTTCTGTGAATTGGTAGCTAGTTAAAAACAGAAGTCAGAGAGTAGGAATAAATGGTCTTTTATCACAAAGTGGGGAAATCATGATTAGAATTCCAAATACAGTTCAGTGGTAAGCAAGTGTAAAGTGATGAAGTTGCAGCAAAAAATTCCAGCTGCATATATACAATGATGGGATCTAAGCTAGTCATGGTGACTGACCAGACTGGAACATAGGAAGCTCTCAGAATGTGATAATGAAAAGAACAAAATGTACAAATTCAAATGTAGAGCAAGTATTCAATTAATATTGTTAGAAATCAGTGTAAACTTTTAGAATATAAAAAACGTATTAGTGTGCCACTTGATGTACCGTATTGTATCCAAAGCTAATGAAGTTTCAGTTCCTTAATACATCCTATTAAGTTTGTTAAATGTTGAGGTGCTAGTCAATTTGAGTTGGTTTGAAAAGAGTTTGAGTTGGTTACATCTCAGCTCACCCAGTTGTCTCGTTGGTAATATATGAATGTACACCTTCACTTTCTATTTAGCTCTTGCAGCAGTTCGACCCAGATACAGATTTAATTGCTATCAGCTCATTAGATATGTAAATTAAAAAATAACTGATATTACAGCCAGTCTCCAAATAAGTCATTTAGTTTCTGGTTTTATTGGTCTTTCAAAAATGCAATCCAATGAATTATTACACAGAAGTGGATTGATTTCAGTGGGATTTACTATATTGATTCACTTTTGATTTGTTTAAATGCTTTTTGTTTCCCTTCAAGAAAGCTAATTTATTCTTCTTGAAAATCTGTTAATGAGCTATTTTATGAAGATCTGCCATTGGTAGTCGATTTCCTGTTACTAAAAAGATGGTGGTCTTTTCAGCTTTAAGAAAACAAAGGAGAATTACAAAGATAGAAACAATGCTATTGAAGAATATTTTAGTATAATACAGAGTTTCCTTCATTTCTAAATATACAAAGCTATAAATTATAAGAGAAAGAGTTAGATGGAATTGCAGGGACAAGAGAAAAGCAGAGTTGTTTTCTATCAACATTTATACCACAGAACATGGAACAAGAGAGGCACAAACCAGTCTGACAAAGTCCATGCTTTTGCCAGGCCATTTCCATTACTGAATCTCTCCTCTTCCTGCCCCTAATACTTGATGATTGTTGTATCTGATCATTCTTCTCCCCCTTCTTCTGATCAGACCAGAAAAGAGGCTTTGTAACTAAAAGTCTTTGTTATGTTAAAAGCTAACAGGAAAGTATAGCAGAAGTCAATAAGAAAGGCAACAAGGGAAGTCAAAATATTGGCCGTTAGAAAATGCAGCTTACATTGATTCCAAACTGATTGATTTCCAGATTGAAAAGGGCAAACCACACTTTTGATGTAGATGCTCCTGTTCTAGTCGCTTGGAGTATCTTGACACTTTTCACCTGGTCCACATTCTTAACCTGATGCCATATCCTCAGATTAATGATGTTAGATCTGCCCCCCCCCCTTTTTCAGTTCGCTCAGTAAACTTTCCCACAAAATTCTCAGCTACTGCTTCACTAATTTCTGGGTTCATTGATATTGGTGTATTCATTGTGGATTTGGACCCCTCTTCATTTGAATCAGTTTCTGTATCCACAATCTTTGAAGTCTATTTTTAGAAGGGGAACTCACCCATCCTCTTGGGATACATTTTACAAGTCAGATTCAAAGTAGGTGGTGTTCTGTCCACTGCAATATGTATACATCCTTGTTGTGGTACAGTGGAAAGCTATGCAAAACTGGAGAGGAAAGGAGGATTAGTCAAATTCTGTGCCATAGTCAAGCATGATTCCTGCTCTAGTTCAAGTGTGCCCTTATCCCTACTATCTGTGACTCACAATGATCACACATGTCTTGTGATGGCTGATATTTAAAGAGTCCTACACACTTAAATGCTAGATTGGCTGTGAGTCTCATATTTTCTCTCTTGCTTCCCTCAGTGCCTGCTGGGTTTTCCCTCTTGCTGTCATTGTCATAGTTGATAAAATGCAGCACAGTGCAATGGTGTGTGTCTAGAATCTCTCTCACCCCAGGCCTTAAAGTAGTTGGCTGCATTCACACATAACGCTAAGCCATGCTGCATGGCAACCACATGGCATGCTATCTTACCTTGGGGCCAGGGTTCAGACAGGTGCATGGTTTCCATGCATGAGTGGTTTCCACCCTCCTCCATCTTCTATCCTAATGGTGACAAATGTCCCACCACCAATCCCTACAGCTGAAAATCAGTCCCAATGTGCACCACTCCTGCCTTGCTCTCATTGGCCTGCACACTCCCCTGGGAATAGCCTTAGCTAGCTGCCTTTTTTGTTTGTTTTTCCCCTGTTTCTCAGCAAAGCAACTGCTTACTCAGTAGAGTAGCATTGTTGCTCTAAAGTAAAATTACCTGTTTCTGTCTTGCTCTGTGCCAATAAACCAGTATACCCACCCATGTACTCACCTCTCCTCCCTCCCTTTCTTTACATATGTCCACTCCCCCACGGCCAGCCTCCTCAATGCAACCAGGCACACAGAGGGCATCGGCACAGGTACCCATGTCAGGAACAAAGGGCACACATCTGCCAGGCAGACTTTCCCAAGGGACTGCATGTGGGCATCTCCCTGGGGGAGCTTCCTGGCCAGCTGTTGTCATGCAACTGTGGTAGGGGACAGCAGACTTTGTTAACAGTCCTGACAACTGTCAGGGACAAGATAGGAGCAGAGGCACAGGTGGGAGGCAGAACAGGAGGCATGGGGTCTTTGAGATGTTCGTCCTGTTGACAGTTCTGTTGGTTGCTTCTCTGAGTGGTTCCATGGATACCATTCTTACCACTCTTTATGGTGACTGGGTTAATATATAACAGCAATCCATGCCACTATGATTTCCTTATGTATCTTTTTGTTAGGTCTGAACCAAGCCATTGTGTGTTTGTTTAGGGGATGGGTATGCACAGGGTAGGTGTGGTCAGTTCTCTGGTTAGGGGAAAGGTGGTGGAATAACCATTTAGAAAGGTAAATTAATAGTAAAAAGCACAGTTGTATATTTTGCCATTAGGTTAAGTTTTTATGGTAAATGTGACACAGTAGTAAATTTTAAAGGTAATCTACTGAAGTAGTATTGTAAGTGAATATCCCAGTTAGTAATCATATGTACATTTTAATCAATTATAAATGTAGCAGGTTAATGTGTGTCCAGAGTAAAGTCTGATAGTGTTTGTGTGGTGTTTATGTTTCATGATTTTGAATATCAGAAATTATCCTACAAGGAAGATCCTTATTTATGTACAGCTGCTAAGTCTGGCATCTTATTTAAAGAAAACAATACACATTCCCTTTGCTTATTAGTGAACTTTGTATACAGACTTTGAAAGTTATTTTATGCATAGTATAAAACTTGACAGAACATTTACAAGGGAAGAAAAGCTCTATGCAACTACTTATTATAACAATTCATTTTTTTCTGGTACTTGGTGAAAGCCTTCTCTAATTCAATCTTTATCTTTTGTCTTTGCTGCCTTGCAGGGTTGGTACAGTAGGCCTCACTAGACTTAGCTGCAACTAAGAATTTCTCCTACATCAAGTTAATGGTGATGCTCTTGTGGATTGGTGAATAAAAGTGCGCACTAAGTATTTAAGAAGCGGAGAAAACAAATTTTGTCTTTTCAAAGTTGTACCACAACCACTACCATCAAGACAGCAAACCAATGGACAAAGAATTTGATCCACAGTGTTTGTAAAACTAAGCTGATTTGTTTTACTAAGGCTTGAGGTCTGTGACCTGGACGTCAGCATTTGGAAGTTACTTTGTTTACAAAAATGAGGGCAGCTTTGGAAGCAGCAGACATTGCCATTGTGGCACTGTATTTTGTGCTTGTGCTATGCATAGGCTTTTTTGCCATGTGGAAATACAATCGAAGCACTGTAAGTGGGTACTTCCTGGCAGGGCGATCTATGACATGGGTAGCAATTGGCGCTTCCTTGTTTGTGAGCAACATCGGGAGTGAACACTTCATTGGGCTTGCAGGATCTGGAGCAGCAAGTGGATTTGCCGTGGGGGCATGGGAGTTCAATGCCTTAATGCTTTTGCAGCTCTTAGGATGGATTTTTGTTCCAGTCTACATACGATCTGGAATATACACCATGCCCGGTTACTTATCCAAACGTTTTGGAGGGCATAGAATTCAAGTTTACTTTGCAGTATTGTCTCTAATTCTGTATATCTTCACCAAACTTTCAGTAGACTTGTATTCAGGTGCATTGTTCATTCAAGAATCATTGGGCTGGAATATTTATTTGTCAGTTATACTGTTGATTGGAATGACTGCATTGCTCACAGTGACTGGGGGTCTTGTGGCTGTCATCTACACAGACACAGTTCAAGCTTTGCTTATGATTATTGGTGCCTTCACGCTTATGATCATAAGTCTTGTAGAAGTTGGTGGCTTTGAAGAGGTTAAAAGAAGGTACATGTTGGCAAAACCAAATATAACATCAATCCTGCTGACATACAACCTTTCCAACACTAACTCCTGTCATGTTGACCCAAAGCCTGATTCACTGAGAATGTTGCGTGAACCAACCGATGAAGATATTCCTTGGCCTGGTTTTCTTTTGGGACAAACTCCAGCTTCTGTATGGTACTGGTGTGCAGATCAAGTCATTGTTCAGAGAGTTTTAGCAGCAAAAAATATTGCTCATGCCAAAGGAGCCACTTTAATGGCAGGGTTCTTAAAGCTTTTGCCTATGTTCTTTATAGTTGTTCCAGGAATGATTTCACGAATCCTGTTTGCGGATGATATTGCATGTATCAATCCAGAACATTGTTTGCAAGTTTGCGGAAGCAGAGCTGGATGCTCTAACATTGCCTATCCACGTTTGGTAATGAAGCTTGTTCCTGTTGGCCTGCGAGGCCTTATGATGGCTGTGATGATTGCCGCTCTCATGAGTGATTTGGATTCTATATTCAATAGTGCTAGTACCATATTCACTCTCGATATCTACAAGCTCCTCATACGGAAGAATGCATCATCTAGAGAACTGATGGTTGTCGGAAGAGTCTTTGTCTTTTTCATGGTGGTAATAAGCATAGCTTGGGTCCCAATAATAGTGGAAATGCAAGGGGGCCAAATGTATCTATATATACAAGAGGTGGCAGACTATTTGACTCCACCAGTGGCTGCTATATTTCTCTTGGGGGTGTTTTGGAAGCGTTGCAATGAGCAAGGAGCCTTCTGCGGTGGAATGGCTGGATTTGCTTTGGGAGCCATACGACTGGTACTGGCGTTTATATATCGTGTCCCTGAATGTAACCAGCCAGACACTAGGCCGTTCTTCATCAGAAGTGTCCATTACATGTATGTTGCTACAGCACTATTTTGGATCACTGGAATTGTGACTGTGATTGTAAGTTTAATTACTCCACCACCTTCAAAGGAACAGATTAGGACCACAACATTCTGGTTTATGAAGAACAGGAATGTAAAAGAAAGCACATCAGCAGGCAGTTCATTCAAAGCACAAGAGAAGACCATCTTAAAATACAGTGAAACTCCTAACACTGTATCTTCAAATGGAAAATCTGATGAAAATGTTAAAAATGATCAGCCTGAAAATGTCAATCTTCTAATTACTTGCAGAGATGACAGCAATCCAGTGATTTCTATGAGTAACTCTGAAGTTGAAACACCAGTTGATTGCTATTCCAATGGACAGGCAGCCCTTATGGGTAGAAAGAAGACTGAGGAGGAAACTGATAAACACTGGAAATTCATAGATTGGTTCTGTGGGTTTAAAAGCAAAAACATGAACAGTAGAGTCATCCAGGATAAGAGGGAAGAAGAGAATATTTGTCTACAAATGCTGGAAGAGACTCCAAAAGTTAAATTGCTACTAAATATTGGACTATTCTGTGTGTGCTCCCTTGGAATATTCATGTTTGTTTATTTCTCTTTGTGAACAAATCATGAATCTTAAAGTATGGTCAAACTTATAGAAGTGGAAATGCAGGTTCTTGGAAAAATATTTATATATAAATATGTGTCTGTTTATGTCTTACATCTCAGGCATACTTTACGCTGTTATTGTCAGCCAAATTCTTTCTCAACCTAATTTGAAAATCATTAGACTTCTTATAGCATTTCTGCTTAAACACAGAATGTCTGTGGAATTTAGTATAGTACTGAAGGTTGGGTTTTAGTATACCAAAGTAAGAAATGAGTATGTTAAAAGTGAAATACTACAGTGCTCTGTCAAAAGTCCAGCAAAAGGTAAATGATCTTAAAGTTAGAATACTAACACTTTAAATGCTTTAAATTATTATAAAGTGTTTGAGTGTGAGAAGATACTATATTCAGAGTTACCCTGATAAAATAACTGCCCCTGATTCTCTCTCCCCACGGATACTTTGAACTGATGTTTGAAGAATGTTCCTACCACAAACCCAGTTTTTACCAGACTCCAGGTATTTTAACTGGCCTGAAATCTTTTACTTCTTAAAAATACATCTGTCTTTTTACTTTTTTAGATAAAACCAAATATTTTAAACAGCAATTTTTTGCTTGCTATCTGTTGTAAGAAGACTGCCAATAGCAATGAGTGCATCTATAAAATGCAAAAACAAAAAGGATGCAGTCAAAGCTATGCAGGAAGAATAATCTTGATGCTGGGAAGTTTGACCTATATTCTCTTCATGAAAGTGTATCAAAATGCATCATAAATGTATATCTTATACATCTGGTATGTTTTTAATTTTGTCCATTAAAATGTGGAAGATGACAATGAGCTAGCCTGCACATAATGGTAACCCACAGCCTCTGGTTTGTCTCTCAGTGAGAAAGAATCCATGGTTTGTTCTTGTTTTCCTTCTGTAACTTGTTGGGAGGAAACAAGCTGGAGGTCCTGGTTTTCAAGTAACACAAAACAAATAATTGATGGAAGGTGTGTGGGTTTTTTTAGCTACTTCAGTCTCTAGTGGAAGAGATTGGACAGTGTGCTGGTGCATTCACAAAAATCTACAATGTTTAAAATGGTTTTTGTTATGTGCAAACAAGGCCAGTAATCCCCCACGGTAAGAGGAGAGAACTAAGCATGCTCTTCACAAAATCAGTCTCTATAGAATTTGTATGAGTTGGGTAACAATTTGTCTAAAACTGTTCTGATAGGGAAGTAACAAATAGCACAAGTTGTACTGGAATTATGGAAAATAGAATACTGTAACCCTTTTCATATTCTTTTATGTGGGTTTATTTTTGTTGGGGGTAGGTGGGAAGGGGGGAGAATGAAAATTATAGCTTTTTCTAGAAAAACAAATAATTTCTGGTTCCAAGATGTGTGTGGTCTTTCATGTTGAAGCTGCATGTCTCCTATGGATGTGGTGAGAAGTGTAGTAGAATGAATAATGCTATGTTTACTAAAGCAGAATATTGGAGGATATGACAGATATTTAAACAGGTTTAACTCAGAGAATGCTCAGACATGAATATAAACCTCAGCAACTGTATTATTCAACTTCAGTATAAATGCAAGCATTTTGGTCACAGTTTTTCTCTCACTAGCATTTTGATGAAGTTTGGAGAAAAAATTCTGTTACCTTGGTAGCTGGAACTATTGCAATGGTGGAAAAAAAACCCTGTCCTCCTCTGCTCAAGTGCTTTGAATGCTTATGTAGCAGCGTGGAGGATAGCAGATGCACCTTGTTGCCTGAGCACAAGGTTTGGTAGATGGCAGGACTCATAGAAGTGGAAGGTGTCGATTAAAAGCAAATGTAGAGAACTCCTTAGCACTCTGCAATGTCATTCCTAATTGAAACTGGTGGTAGCGGGCAGGAGGATTACCCTGGTGTTGAGAATTGCAAATTAACAAGTTCATTAATATAATTTAGGGATGAAGAACCTGCAGCCCTTCAGATCTTATTGGACAGCAACTTTCATCATCTCTGATTATTTCCATGCTGACTCGGGCTGATTGGCGTTTGAGTTCAGCATCTGGAGAGCTACAGGATTCCCACTCCTTTTGTCACTTTGTGGGGATAAGTAAAGAGGGCTGGCATCCCATTGAATAAAGGAATACTTTTTCTTATTGCTTATATACTCATTTTCTTGTAAATGCTGAGTCTGCAAGGGCTCATAGCAGCTGACTATATACTTTGAAAATCAAATTAGGAAGATATTAATACCATTCTGTTCATACTGCTCTGCAATTTCTCCCATAATATAAATGGAACAACTTGCTCACTAATGTTGCTAGATGGTGGTGGAGTATATACTGCTGATATGTTCTTTTAAGCTTGTTAAATGATGTAATTTTAAAAGCAGCCTTCTGTGTAATGCACTGGAGATGGCTTTTGTTAATGGTAACATAAATTGAGAGCTTCTTTGTGCACTGGGCCAAAGGCCTACTCAAACTAGTGGCCTTCTCTGGCCATAGGGAGTATATGAAACCAGCTTTGATATGTGGCTATGTATGATCGCTGCTATATAGGGAGAGTGCTGCTTTTGCTGGCACTTGCAGAGATGGCTGTGTTGAATGAATTGCCACCAGCAGTCATGTGCAGGTGAGCTAGCTCAGGGATCTGTTTGGCTCCCACCTTTCACTTCTCCTCAGATGCCTTGTATAGACTAAGCCATGTTCCAGGCCTTACTGCCACATTAAAATAGCAATGTGTAATACTCCCTCTGTCCTAAACTTAAGTCACTTAATATTTATGCAGTATTATGAATGTATATGGCAAAGTTTATTTTGGATCTATTTTAAATGGTCTCTTAATGCAATATAGCTATATTCCAAGTAACAATGCAGTGTATAAATTCTTAGACATTAGACAATTTCACAGTTTAAATAATAATGGAAAACTTTGCTAAAGCCCATATAAAAATATACCTGCCAGTTTACCCTGTTGGGGGGTGGGGTCTTTATTTTTTTCTTCTTTGCCCTAATATTTGTACATGGTTTGTGTAGCCTACAATATTATCTATCATGTTTAGATTGCTATTCAATAACTTTTAATGCTTTCTTGGCATATGCTTACCTGTCCTTGCTTCTGGGCTCTCCTGCTAGGTTTGCCATGTTCCAAAACAGAAACTCTGCCTGTCACATTAAAGATACCAAAGGCAGTGAGTGCAAGGCAGCATTTATTGCTCAGTTCTGCCTCCAGTGGGGAAAACTAGTCCTGGTTATCACATTCCTTTGGAAGAGATGGGGTGAGTGAAGAGGCAGTTTGAACTCTGGGGTGAAATGTGCTGTTGTTTACCCTTCTTGCTGTAGCTTAACTCTTAGGCCATGTTCAGATGATCATCAAAATAAAGGACATTATCAACCTAAGTTCTTCATTGTGGCCTCTGTGCATCACACATTATGGGTGCTGCGCCTGCGTAGTGCCTGTTGCCGGGAAGATTAAATAGCTATAATGGTCTCCGGTGGGAACTCTGCACCCTCCCCCGTAGTATAAATGGGCGGAGTGCCTGCCATTTCCCCAGTCTTTTTGCGACCGCTGTTTGCTGTGCCTCGAGCCTTTCGCTTGTCTCTTGTAGCTATATTCTGATAAAGTTTTACTGTTATTCTCTTGACTTTACAATCTTTTTTCAATTCCTTTATCCAAGTTATAACCCATCCAATTCCTCCCCCCCGTTTACATCGTTTTTCCTCCCTTCCCGTTTTCCCCTTCCCCTATGCCTTCTGTTGTTCTTCTTCTTGTTAATTCTTCTGTCATTTGGTGTTTTTCCTCTCTCTTTGATGGTGCAACAAGTGGCTTTCTGCAAGTGTTCGCAGTGTGGGGCTAAAATGTCTCCCACTGACCCACATGACTTGTACCTTCTATGCTTGGGAGAAGGTCACAGGACTGATAAGTGCAGCCATTGCCAGACCTTTACCAGACAGGCCCGCAAGAACCGGGAAAACTATCTGTGGAAGATGCTCTGGGACCAGGCTTTGGTCACCATGAAAAAGGTCTTGGAGGAGACCATCGCGGCAGGTCTATATAAGGCCGCTCCTCCTTGTCCATCTGAAGGAAATGCGACATCGAAGGAGGGAAAGCGCTCCTCTCACTCTCCTCACTGCAAGCAGAGGGAGAAGAGGAAGCATGTCAGATCCGACGAGTCCTCTGCATCCAAAAGACCTAGGAAGGACAAGCCCAACAAAGTGGAGCAGAGGCACAAAAAGCATCCCAAGGTGCCTCACTAGAAATCAGTGTCCACTGCCCCTTCAGTACTGATCGCTGCCTGCATCCCAGCTCTGATTGAACCCACCATTCAATTGGTCATGAAAGTGACTCCACCGGTCATGAAAGTGACTCTACTGCGCAGTGTCATCTTGGCTCCATCTAGTCCTGATTGTTCTGACCCTGTTGCTAGAGGGTCTATGTCGGATGGTGAAATCTGAAAATCTCTGCCTCGGTCACTCACTGACCTGCTACCTGTCCATTCTCCAACACTGATGCCAACATCTCCAGAGAGATCTCCGAGGGCTTCTCAACGCCCAGCCTCCCTGCCACAGGTCCCAGTTCAGCCTTCCAAATATTGGGTCCCTTACCATACAAGTAGTTCGATCCATCTTGGTCCTATACATGGGACTATTATCCTCCCTATGGTTATTACCTGAGGTCTCCAATCCATCCTCCTCATTCCACCCCCTCATTCAGTGTTGAGGGACGCTCCATCGACCTCTGCAGCTGCTCTTTCCCGACCTGCGCCTTCATCCTGGGTCTTCCATACCACTCAGATCCCAATTCAGACGACTCTCAACAGGCTTCAATGTCTTCAGATGCCGTGATCTCAACCCAGGGTCTGGACTCCCCTGGAGATTCGCATGGCAACTTCACGGAGCTGCTCTCTAGGATGACAAAGTCGTTGGAGATTGATATCCAACATCGCATCGACTCAAATCAAGATAACATCTATGACATCATCAGTAAAGAGGACTCATCCTCCATTGCTCTGCCCTTCATTACATCTCTGAGGCAAGTGATGATGGATACATGGCAGCTCCCCAATCAGCCGCATTCGATGTCCAGGCGACTTGAGTCAATGTACAAGGTTCGGAAACAAGATATCCCATTCCTTCTTAAACATCCCAAGCGAAACCCTATTGTCATTGAGTCATCCCAGGGTTAACAGAACAAAGAACACTCGACTCTGATGCACAAGGAAGGCAGAAAGAGCGACATGATATCTCTTCATATCTATGCTGCTATAGGACTCAGTCTTCATATCTTCAATTACGAAGGCACCGTGGCGAGGTACCAATATTTCCTCATGCAGAAGATCGAGTCCCTCATCTCTAATCTCACAGACCAACATAGGGAGCTTGCCTGCATGTTCACCCGCGAGGCTATGCAGCTTTCCATCCAGCAGCTCAATACGGTGAGACATCATGTTGATTGCAACTCTAGGGCTCTTGTTGCTGCTGTTGCCCTTCGTTGCCTTGCCTGGTTACACTCAGGTAACCTACCAGATGAGACTAAGTGGCATGTGAAGAACATGCCCTTTGAAGGCTCCAGGCTCTTCCATGCTAAAACTGACAACAAGCTGGAGAATATTCACAAGGCTCGCTGTATGGAGAAGTTGTCACAGCACTGATGTAAGTGGCTGTGGCCTTGTTCTCAATACCACTACCAACCTTACCAAAAGTGCAGGACGCCAACAGTTCCAACAGTGTCAACAAAGGAACCGAAGGTAGAATGCGCCGCGGTACCAACAAGCTCATCGCTGTCCCGACACCGACAAACGCCATCGTTGACAGGATGCACAAACCTCTCCTTGATCCTTTCAACCTAGCTTCCCCTCTTCCCTTTGGGGAATGGCTGCAAAGCTGACTCCCCATCTGGGAGTCCATCACATCTGATAGGTGGGTACTTGCCATCATAGAGCACGGATACAAAATTGAGTTTGACACTGTGCCACTTCCTGGACTGATCTGATACACAGCTGCCTCCTTCTAGATGAAGTTTCCCAGCTGCTTCATAAAGGAGCGATTCAAAAACTGCACCACTCTGAAGGCCTGCACAGTTTCTACTCCAGGTACTTTACGGTAGTGAAAAGGAATGGTGGTCTACACCCGATATTGGACTTACATGGTGTTAACAAAAACATCAAAACCAAAAAATTCAGAATGACCACACTCCAATATCCTTCCGTTGCTCAGGAAAAAGAATTGGTTCACATCCTTAGACTTGAAGGATGCTTATTTCCACATGAGCATACATCCTGCTCACAGACGTCTCCTCTACTTCACCGTTGGTACCAACATATTTGAATACAATGTACTCCCCTTCAGTCTCGCAGCTGCTCTGAGAGTTTTCACCAAGTGTGTGGCTCCTGTATGTGCCCATCTTTGGCTTCAGGATATTCATATTTACCCTTACCTCGATGACTGGCTTATCGTCTCCTCTTCCAGGGATGGCCTTCTAGCCTCCATCGATACAGCCTGCTCCCTCCTTGACCAACTTGGACTATGCATTAATGTTGAAAAATCATGTCTCATTCTTTCCCAGGTCATCAACTTTGGAGCTCATCTTGACTTGCTACACACCCGAGCCTTTCTTCCTTGTGACCGAAAAGACAGACTACTTATGTCTATCCAAAGGATTACTGCCTAACAGACTGTTCCAGCATTATCCATATAGAAACTGTTTGAACATCTATGGTTTATGTAGTACCAAATGCCAGACTGCAGATGAGGCCCTTACAACTTTGGTTCAGCCACACCTTCCATCCACAATGCAACTGACCACACCAACTACTTCAGCCGGCGCTCTCAGTTCTTCACACCCAGTCTTGGTGGATAATAGATACCAACCTTTCTTTTGGAGTCCCATTCCATCCACTGCAGTCGACTCTTAACTCTCTGTACCGATGCTTCCCTGACTGGTTGGGAGCCCACTGTGCGGCCCTTCAGACGCAGGGTGCCTGACGTGACCACGAGACTACCAGACACATCAGCTATGTGGAACTGTTGGCGGTCTTCAAAGCCCTCTGTTCCTTCAAGAACATCTTTCAGGACTGCATCGTACAGATTACATTGGACAATATTGTGACTGTGTTCTATATAAACAAGCAAGGCAGTATGAAGTCAGCCCCCTTGGCTCATCTCACTCTCTGCCTCTGGAACTGGTACATTGACTGCGAGATCACTCCTCAGTCGGCTACTATTGAGAACATTTTGCAATTTCTACTCCATTACACCAAGGTCAACTTAAACCCTTGTCCATTAAGATGTACATCGCAGCAATCTCACATCATTGTGGCTCCTCTGTATTCTCTCATTTCCTTGTCTGTCGCTTCTTAAGAGGACTACAAAATTTTGCCACCGATCCTGTTGTCCTTCAAGCTCTCACTAAGCCTCCTTTTGAACCACTAGCCATGACTGATTTACACCTTCTCTCCTGGAAAACGGCTTTCCTAGTAGCTATTACTTCAGCTAGAAGAGCTAGTGAGCTGTGTGCTCTACCTATTGACCCTCCATACCTGAACTTTCACAAAGAGAAAGCTGTTCTTCACACTGATCCAACCTTTCTTCCCAAGGTCACTTCTGCTTTTCATGTCAATCAAGATATTGTCCTGCTGGCCTCCTTTCCTACACCTTCGACACCGATTGAACACTTATTGCATATGCTAGATGTTTGGCAGCGCTTTGCTTTCTATTGATCCCAAACTGAGTCCTTTAGGAAAACCAAACGCCTGTTCATCAAATACTTGGAGCACAATAAGGGAGTTCCTATTACCACTCAAAGACTTTTGAAATGGATTGTGGAGACAACTGGAACTGTCTTACCATCTCTCCAAATCGGACCTACCGGTCGCTCCTAAAGGACATTCTACAAGGGCTGTCGCGGCCTCTTCTGCCCTCTCTGCCAGCATTCCCATGTACGACATTTGAAGGGTGGCTACATGGTCTACTCTGTGTACCTTCATGAGAAACTATCACCTAGACATCAGGGCCTGGCAGGACTGTTCTTTCAGCCGTGCAGTTCTCTTTTCCATTCTTCAGTGATGAAGATGAAACTGTCCCACATCTGGGTGTGATAAAGCTTACTAATCACCCATAATATGTGATGCACATAGGCCTTGATGAAGAAAGGCAGGTTACTTACCTGTAACCGTTGTTCTTTGAGTGGCCATCTGTGCAGTCACACAACCCGCCCACTGGCTCCACTTGGTGTCGGTGACTGGGTTTACAAATAACCTTATTTTTTTTATATACATCTGATAATGATAGCTGTGTACACATGTCCACATATGTGTATACCTATTCTGATGATTCTGACAGCTAATTTCTGTCTTTGATGCTTCCTGTCAAATTCAATTTTACTTATCTTCACCTGGGGGCAAACGGGCAGTCTTCAGGAGACTGGGGAAATGGCGGGCACTCCTCCCATTTATACTATGGGGGGTGGGAGGGTGCGGAGTTCCTGCCAAAAACTGTTAAAGCTGTTTAATCTTCCCTGCAACAGGCACTGTGCAGGCGCAGCACCCATAATGTGTGAAAGCACAGATGGCCACTCGAACGACGGTTACAGGTAAGAAACCTGCATTTTTCATATCTACCATTGGTCACAGAAGACCACAGTTTGCATTTGTACCTTACACAGGACTGCAGATGGTTCTAAATTTTTCTCTTAGAAAAATTTTTCTCTTTACATAGAAAAATGTAAGAGGAAATGTAAGAGGCTGTCAATGTTTTCGCTGATTATCTGAACTGGACTTTTGAGTGACTGGCTGTTTCTCTGGGCTAGAACCTGGCAGCTTTATTGCTGGTGTTTTATCTCTTGATGGAAGATATTCTAAGTGTAAATTTACATGATGTAACCTCTTCATTTAGTCCTTCTATAGTTGCAAGAACCATAATTAGGAGTACAATCCTGTGCATGTTCGAGTAGAGACTTCTACAACTCCTGGAATATTCTAGCCAGAATGGCTGATTAGGGCATGCTTGGGAGTTGGATTAACTCTGTCTAAAGATGCATAGGACTGCACTCTTAATTGGAGTTTCTGTATACTTTTACTATTAACATTCCTTTTAGGATATTTTATAATTAGGCTGTCAAGTTCAGAGTAAGAATAAATGTTTAATAGCTTGTTACAGTGCCTTTAAGTAGCAAAATATAACCTTGCTAGGTTAGTGCATCTCATCTGTGATGAAAATACTTATTACCTGCTGAGTCTTTACATTTCTACCTATGTTATGAGGGTACATTTTTTAAAATATTCTCTTACCTGTCTTTCTAGTTTTAAAGACTAGACATTATTGAAAATTGCAAGTTGTAGTGTAAGTAAATACCTGTTGTGTGGTAATTTGCTTTGCTTTAAAAGAAGACATAGCAAATAGAACAATTGATCTCTAAAGATATAGTGTGTGTATGTATTTCTATGCCTCTGCATGTTATATTATTTAGCCCTCTGCTATGTAAGTATAATTAGCAATGCTAAGGATAACTAAAAGAAAAATTACCCTAAAAATAAATTTTTCAGTGAATCACAGACTCCTTGAAACCTAATTAGAGCAGCTAGAAGTGGACCCTGTTGCCAGTTGTACTAAGTGGAAATTATCTTAATAGCATTTTCTGTTAATACAAATTAGCATTCTTAAACTTGGAAACCACTATAAAAACTTCTGCTCGTTCTAATTAATCTGGTCACTGAGCAGAATTTCAACATCTATGATCTGTGTGCCAGAAATTGTTTTTGTTGTATTTCATGAATATGCTTCTTATCATCCTTGTGGTTTGTAGTGTAGACAGAAGGGATTTTTGTCAGCTGTAGTATTACTGAGTTGGGTGTGTGGCTGACAGAACTGCAAAGGAACTATTTCCCATAGACTGCCATTAGTTCATAAGACCAACGCTTTTGGCCTCTCAGAAGCCACAGCCTAGATATGGGACCATGCAAGCATTCCAATTATACACCTAGTCAATTGTGTGAGCAGTCCTTCTGGGTTTCTGTGGGAATTCATTACCTTGCATGTCAACACTTAATCAAGCCCTACTTCAGACTTCCATATTTTTTCTTAGAGTGGTTTTAAAAATATATTTGCTTATTTAAGCAAGCAGAAGCTTTGTCTAAAGAAAGCTGGTTGAGGGCTTTATTTTTGCACTGTATTCAGGGAAAACAGCTTCTGTTCTGGCAAGTTTCTTACTCCCTTTGTTGCCAAAGGATTCTTCCTCCTTGCTGCTTTGCTGCCCAGAGATGATGGAAGGCTAAGACTTGAGTCCCGTTGGACTCAAGTGTTAATTTAAATTACATTGCACTAGCATAAGGGAATGTGTTCTATGGAGTTCAGTGGAACTTACTTCCAAGGTAAAAATGGATAGGGCTCCAGTCTGATGGCAGTATCCAAGCTAACATGTGTGTTAACATAAACCTTGCACTAGCATTAGGGACCTCTAGTGTAACACCAATAGCATTAGTTGGTGTGATGGACCTTGAAGATTTTCCTATTGATACTGTGCATAAGGTGGTGCAGTTTGTCAGTGCTGGTATCATCCTGGTTACTGCTATAAGACTGCAGTCCTATCCATTCTTACCTCAGGAGCAAGTTTCACTGAACTCCGTAAGACTTACTTCCTAATAGATCTGCATAGGATTGTGCTGTTCATGTGTTTCCTTTCTCCTACTGTCATTCCAAAAATCTCAGCATGGTACTTATAGTGTGCCTCATAAGTCACAATGCTAGCATAAAATACCTTCATAAAAGAAGAAAGGGATGGGAAGTAGGCTATCATTTACTGACAAAATACTTTTAGACAGAAACAAACTGTGCTTGTGTTAAATTTTACAGCTTTATTTTTAAAATCTTTTTGTTAAGTAAATTATGATGTAATGGCGTGTGTGTGTGAGTGATTTTCCCCATAAAATATACATATTAAATTCACAAATCTAGTTTTTTAAGAACATTTAAAATATGGTGATGTATTTAAAATGCAGATATTCATTGTTTGTCCAGTATACTGAATGTTATGTGCCCTTAAAAGTAAGTGTTTTGAAAAATAAAGCTTATGTTGTTACATGTGATGTTCTAAATCAAAGGTGTATGAAATACTTAAAGGTTCTTTTTAAATAAATTGTGTATAACTCAGTGGTTTTCAATGTGTTTTTAATTAGCTTTAGGGTAAAGTAGTTCTAGAACATTAATATATATATAATTAGGATTTCTAATTTCACTGTGAGATCTTTAAACTCTTGTTGGCAAAATAGCTTTTTTTTCTTACAGAACAGTTTCTGGGGATGTTGGTTTAAAAGCTAATGCTTTATTTTTGTTCTGATTGTATCAAATATAAAATATTATGTAGTGACATCTGGTACACTACTTTTCCATAGCATTTATCAGCTTCACTGGGCAAAGTCAGACACTGAGCAAAGATGGTAATGACATATGACAATACTAAGTGTCTATGAATAAGTGCTTTTAAATGAGGTGGATATAAAAATAGTTGCTGTGCAAAAAAATTAGTAGTCTTCTTCAAGAAGAAAGCAAATTCTTTTGTAATGCTACAGACAAATGTTTTTGTTCATTTTCTTAATATTAAGTACAGTGTCGATTTGATGCTGCTTTTTCCTTGTACCTGTTTGATATATAAGTATTACTTTCTTTTAGATTTGTGAAGTGTCCAGTTTTGCTCCCATTGTATTTTTTTGCAGCTTTTATGTAAATTAGAAGTCTCAAAATTTCTTCGTTGTTGTTTTTTAAGAGACATTAAAACATTTTGCATACCAAAAACACATCATACTGTACAGCAAGTCAAGTCTTTAAACTCCACCCAAACTTGTGAACAAAAAATAAACAAGCATACACATGTGATGATGGACCTACTTGGTTCCAGAGTTTAAGTTTTTTTAAATGTCCGTGAACTAAAAACAGGACACCTGGTTTTGAACTTCCTGTAGTGCTATATACAGATCTAGAAGTGTTAAGAAAATGACTATGTCTTAATTGCTAGCATCCACAAACACAAATCTGGTATGGTTTGATTATATGGATTATTGCTAATATTATGAAATTCTGATACAAAACTCAGTTCTCATTGCTAGCCCTGTATATATTGTTTGTTGTATACTGTGTTACATTTTTTCCCTCCTGAATTAGTTCTCAAAATTAAACTCTTATTAGAGTATTTGGATAATTAAAACTGTATTTCTTGCAGTTTACATTCCTTTTGAATAATAGAATTTTGTCCTGTCAGAGTTATTGTATGGAAATGTTTAACTTCTGCACAAAGTTTAAATAAAAGTACCAAAAAACCTACTCAAGTATTTTTGAAACTATTTTGGAAATGTTAGACGAGGAAGTAAACTTCCAGTAAGCTGAATATGTTTAGTCACTTGCTTTAGCATTTTCATTGAGAAAGATGATATTGTTTATGCTATTTTCAAGTGCTTCATAAATATTTTGGTATATTTCGGATAAGGTTAACTTCAAGGGAGGGACAGATTACAGTTGAGCTTCTAGATGAGGCAACACACATAAGATAGCTTGTTACTGTTCTCTAGAAGACTAGTACTAGTGACAGCTAAACAGCCAAACCTTTTTAACCATTTCCTTTGTCTCAAAAAGATACACTGCTGCCCATTGCACCAAACAACTCCATTGCACTAAACAACTCCCAGCACTAGGAACTGCTCTAGCCTTTTTTAACCTCCACCGAAAATCAGTCAGTCCAAGAGTTCATTCACTCTTGTGGTAGTTTTGTGTCCCTTTGGAATCTATGGCAGTGGCAAATCCTCTACAAGGATACGGCAAGTTAAGAGCTCCCAGCTCTTAAATGACCACTTTGTTGTTGATGATGGAAGGAAGACACTTGTCTTCTTATAGAAGCCAAGTAATATGTGAGACACATAAAGCATTGGGGAAGGCTGAAATTGAGTCAGCCTCTAAAATGAAATTGCAAGGATTGTTGTGGTGGACAAAAGGAGGACAAACACTCAGCATACTTAAAAAGGAATTCAATCTGGCAAAAAAAATGACAATATTGAGACAAAGCTAGGATAGCATCTTTCCTTTGAATCATGAATGGGAACTTTAGGAAAGTAGAGCAGTAAAATTGAAAGAACAGGCATAGGTCCTCCAAATGATATCATGTGCTGAAGCCTATAATCCTGGCTCTGTATGTGATGGTTATGCCATTATTATAGTGCATTAAATTGTTTGCTTAGCAAGCTAGGATTGAAGCTGTAGATTTGTTCCTAACTGACCAAATAGTTATATTTGCAATTGCTCAAATACATACTTCAGTACTGTCAGGTAACGTTCAGGGAATGACCTTGAAGATAAAGGATATTACTTGATCCATAGAAGAACTTCCTGCTATATTCATGAAGCTTGCTTTTTCAAGTACTGTATAAGACCTTCAGCTAAGGTGGGGAAAAGTCCTCAGTTACAACCTGCACAGCATGATGTGAAGCTGTGCCTTGAAATTTTGAGTCTGTTCCAGCAGTTGACTATGAAAACAACAATGCATTTTGCTGCTAGCATGTGATTGTAACCTCTGTAGCCACTCTGTTTTGAAGAATTCCCAAACCCACCCACATGCCCACAATGATAGTGTAACTGAAATGGATAGCTGTTGAACAATGTTGTGGGGAGGGAGAAGCAATTCGTGATAAAGTGCTAGTTGAATACTTCTCAGTAAAATGGGCATTGTGGCTTGTGAAGTCCAAGTAATTTTGAGAACAGTTCTGGGACAGTTGATAAATATGCAACAATTAATTCAGCTATTTGCATGCATGTAGAAACAACTTTGAAATATATTGACAGTGCCTTCTTACCACACAATGCTCCCTCTGACACTTCCACAATGAATTCATAGAGTTTCAGAAAAGTACCATCAGGCACTTCCCAAAAACATTCTGCCTTATCCAAAAATCACGTGATGGTGATAGTGTTATAGCAGCTTTCCCCAACGGCGTGGAGGAAGCTGTAGTCCAACATGGTGGTCTGGAAAGACAGCTTGTATGGCATGCTAAGATGAGGAGCCCCTAGCTAGTGGGCAGAAGGGGGGAAATTGCAATCGGGAGTGGACAGGAGAGAAGCTATGTGTGAAGCTGGTGGGGAATATGATGGTGTAAGCCATTAGAATTTTCATCTGGAACTGGGGAGATTGGACAGCCAGTATGATGTTAGTAGTTAGAGTGCTGGACTGGAACTGTAAGGGCTCCGGGTTCTAATGCCTGCTCAACCATAGAGGTCCCTGGCAACTTTGGGCCAGTCACAGACACTCCTTAATCTACTTCACAGGGTTGTTGTGAAGATAAAAATTGAGAGGAGGAAGTGGATGATACAAGCTGCCTTGTCTTGAAAGGAAAAAGGCAGGATATGAATATAGTACATTGTAAGTATGTAAGGTAATTTTTGATTTGGTATCACCATAGGAAGTCTGTTTGGTGCTGCTTGGAAACATTGGCTGCACTACTTTATAAAGTTTAGGAGATTGTCTAGCAGCTACAAGGCTGTGGTCACCATATTCCTTAATGTGGCTTTCCATTAAGAATATGCTGCATCCTGCAGAATCCTAATCACGTCTCTGTTTTTATTCATCAATAGCAAATTTCCACATTTTGGGTTTGCAGAAAGTAACTAAGGAAGTAATAGTGTCTTGCTAATTGCTTTTAGTGCAGGAGCCTAGGACTAAAACCTGTTACTTTTGCTACAAACTCATTACATACTGCTTGCAAAGTAGATGGAGTGAGTACTGATAAAATACATCTACTGATAAGTAAACTGCTTTCAGCTGATGGGAATTGAGGCCCAAAGCATCTGCAAGTGAGTTAGCTTGAAAAGAGCTATTATATGGTAGTGCAGACTTTTTGATATAATAGGTGAGTAATATGTGTCCTCTGCCAGCTTTTACTGCCCTCTTGTACCTTAATAAAAAAAACTAAGAAGTTTTTAAGGAGGTGTCTGAAGCCCTATAGAGCACTGAAAAGGACTGTTTGCAATTTAGATCTTTTAGAATTTAGTAAGTGCTACACAGCCTTAAAGGGACAAATTTATCTTGCAAACAAGTTGGTTCCAACACCTTTGGCACTCAGTAGTGGTTTGGACACTTTTTTTGGTTATTTTTGAGATACACATTTGGGCTGCAGCCTGCGGGAGAGGATCAGAAGGCAAAAATGGCTCCTAGACCTCCCAGGTCCGCTTACCCTTGCATTAAAATGGGAGTACAACCTCTCAAGAAATTTCATTCTCCCAGAAACTTGGAGTGAATGCAAAACATTTTCTTTCCAAGTGGATCTACTGATGTCTTCAAATCCTCTGTGTGTGGTAAGACACTAAGGAAAAATAATTTATCCCACATGTACTGGGCCAATACACATGTGTTACAAGATTCCTAACACAAGTAAGAAATGCATATAGCAATCCAAATATGGCAACAAGTTTCTCATCAATGATCTATGGGCTATATGGCCTGCAAGATTACAGCACCTTGTTCTTGATTAAAAGGGCAGAGACAGCAATAAACCTTGTCTGAGGGCCAAGTTGTGCATATGCTTAAAACACAACCACACAGTTAAATATCTCTTGGTTTAATTTATAGCTGTATGGGCATGGGAAGTGTTAAGTTAATGTGCTTTGCCTTATGAAGCATAGGATTTAAAAATTTAGAGGATATCTCTCCTGTGACTTGGCAGTTTTAATTGTCCTAGATACTCATATCAGGCTAAGAGGTTGGAATAGGATTTGTGCTGTAATTTGTAATATTTAGAACCCAACATTAGTGCTTTATATTTGAATATACTTGATTTGACAGTGCCCATGCAATGAAATTTTTAATATATTCGGGGAACTGTGTCTGGTGACAACAAAGAAAGTGGAATGTGAGGGAATGTGCCTTGTTGTATGCTGCCATGAGGCACACTTAAACAAACATAGGAACACCTGTAGGAAAATTTTCTAGCAGAAGAGAGATTTGATGGCACAACAAATATTCATGCTCTGTTCCTTGTTACTTTCAATACCTGCATCCTGTAGGGACATTCACTATTGGGAAAGGAGCTAGAGAAAAGGTATACTTTTTTTTAATCCCGGCAGCAGTGCTGTGGGGCTAAAAAGTATGTGAGTAGATCGTGTGCTAATCAAAAACTGGGAGTTTATCACAGAATATGTCCCATTTCCCAATCAAAGCAATGTTTGAAGCAGAGAGGGACTCCTTTAGGTTTCTTGCAGCTTACATAAGAGGGTTGCACTCTGCTGCAGTCATTAATCATGCCCACTAGGCAATGGACATTATAAAAGCCATTTGAAGTCTCAGAGCCTTCTGAATGAGTCCTAATTTATGATGATCAATGACTTGAAAGGGTTAGTTTCAACCGTTGCCCCAGTATGCGACTTTTTGGTTCAGGCAGAAGAGATCTTGGACAAAATGAACTTATAATAATGGAGGTGCTAAGAAGGGGACCCAACCACCCAAGTTCTACAGAAACCTTCAGTGAGCCATGTAGTGAATATATTCTAATAAGTAGTTAAAGGGGAAACACTAATGCCTTCCATCTTCTTCCACTTACAGTGTGCCATGCAAGACTTTAACTAGGTACAAGAGTGGACAGCTTGTGGTCCTTTGGATGCTTTGTCACTGGCTATGCAGGCTAAGGCTGGTGAGAGCTGTAGGCCAAAATAATTGGAGGGCCACAAGTTGCCCATCCTTGGAATAAGAAGTTCTGCTTAGAGACCAGATCCATGAATGCTAATAGCCTCCTGATACTATGGATCAGATTTTGACCACAAAGGACATCCTTGGCTTCCACTTATAATGTTCCATAAAAAGAAGATAGACCCATGTTGTTCATCTAACTTCCATACCACCTTACCGTTGACTTCTGAATAAACTTGGTCCTCATATTTTTACCTAGCTAGCAATTAGCTAGTTGAATTAGCCAACACTAACAAAAGGACAGTGAATGTAAACAGACAGTTCCTCCAGTCACAGAAACATAGAAACAGAGCGAGTCAGAAGGGGCCTCCCGGGCCATCTGGTCTGACCTCCGGCACTAGCCGGCTCCGCTCACAACATGCCCACCATGTGGACGTCCAGCCTATCCTTGAACACCCCCACCGATGAGGCCTCAACGACCTCTCGTGCAAGCCCATTCCACACCCTCGGGGTCCTAACTGTCAAGGAAGTGCTCCCTCAAAAACCAGTACTGTGACCAGTGTTCAGTTTCTTCACAAATGATCTGGCACTTGGCTGAACACTGAAATGGCTATGTTTACATAGTGGCACTGAGTGACTCAGGATACTAAAATTCTAAGCGAGCTCCAAAGAGCTCCAAATGGATTTTTCCACTAAGCAAAAGGCAAATGAGATTTTATGTTAAGTATTAAATGCACATTAAAGACAAAACATCCTATATTCAACTATACACTGATGGGGGCTGAAGGAACTGGTGATGACTAACTTGCAGTCATGCTGGATAGCTTAATGAAAATGTCAACTCAGTGTGCAACTGCTATAAAAAAGACAAAGTTCATGCTAGAGATTATTGCTAAGGGGACTGAAAACAAAACTGCCAGCATTATAGTCCTCTTATATAATGTATATTGCAATGAAGTTTGGGATGCAGCATACAGTTCTGATTATTGCATCATAGAAGGCATAGTTTGGGGCTGAGACGGGGCTTTGGGAACAGCTTCCCAAAGAAAAAAGAAATGGAGAATTGTCTTTTAACTCTGAAAGAGCCTCAGCTATTGGGCAGCATAGAAATGAAATAAATAAATATTAAATTTAGAAATAAGATGAGTAATGGAAGCCATGGCCAAGGTTTGTAAAATCATTCTTTCATAAGTTTATTAGTAGCAACAAATGGATATAAAACAGATTAGGTAGAAGTGACAGTTTGAAAGTTGTAGGAGTCTAGTAGTACTGAGTAGTTCTACTCAGCTGATTCACCTTCTGCCCCTGTGAATGGGTGAGTTTTTTATGTTCCTAAATGTATTACTGTGTCAACAGATTTCAGAACCTTTGTTTTTTTTCCTCTTCAGATTAACCAGTGCCATGGAAGTTCATGCTATTATTTTTACATGTTTACAAGGAGTCCAGTACAAATAGATATGTGTTTAAATTCCTTTTCCCCTTAAATATAGCAAATTATTTTTACAAATTTAGGGAAATGTTACATTCATTTATTCCAGTATATGTCTGTGCAATGTAACATTTAAATTACCTGCTTTATGTTTTACTCAAATATTTCAAATACATCAGGTTATATATAATTGTTTATTGGGAAAAAAGTTAGCATGGGATACTTTTCAAAGCATTTCTTTCTAAATAGAAATAAAATAAGCATGATCAATTAGATTTCTCTCTAGGGCATCAGAATTGTTTTCTGAACATTTCTGGTGTAAATTACCATATCCAAATTTATTTACATAGAATAAAATTTCCTGTTCCAATTTTTTAAGAAGGACCATACTACTAGATATAGGTTATTGGCACTTGTAGGTTCAGTGCTACTGCATATCAGCTGCAGGGAGAGCAGAAATTGGAGGGGAAGTCAGGTCAACTGTAGGCATATGTCGGGCCACTGTGGGAGACAGGAGCATAGGTAAATGGACTGTTAGTCTGATACAGTGGAGTTCTCTTACATATTTTGCCTTCATAACATAACATAACATACTTGTAAACGGAGAGTGTTTGAGCGCATATACTAGATGATAGTTATGTCAATAATCTCAGACTGCTTGTATTCCATCTTGGTTTTCAAAAAGAACAGTCATGGTGACTGGGAGTATCGGTCTATGGTGTAATGGGCTTCTTGCTCATTTTGAGTGCAGCTAAAATTTACTCCCAACTAGGCCACTTTTAATTCACTGAGGCTTATTTTTGAGGAAATGTTCATAGGATTGTGCTGTTAATGAATGTAGTAGTCTGACATTGCACTGTTGGAGATGAAAGGGAGAAGAATCAAGGTTTCAGGCTCTTTCCACAGGCTCTTTTGACATCTGTTCATGTTTCTTCTTTAGTCTTCCTGATTCTTTTCTAGCCAGGTAAGTATCAAGAGTAGTTGTGATTAACTGCCATATATAAACACATTTGTGTGTTCTTCCTTCTGTTTCAAGCTTGAGACAGCTGCAGCATTGAAACGCACAGTGGAGACTTTGATGGAGAGAGGAGCAGTGGTGAGGAATTTGGAAAACCTGGGGGAAAGAGCGCTGCCATATAGAATCTCAGAGCACAATGAAGTTCACACCAGAGGAGGGTATGAGTTACCTATGCCATGCATCTTGTTTTTATAGACTTTTGTTAAATAAATGCTCAAGGCTATGCTTCAAAAAAGTGATAGGAGCATATGGGAGAACAGTGTGTGTGCAGCTGAAGCTTCTATGTTGTCTCAGCAACTATTCCTACTGCTTAGGAAACAGGCTGGTCATCAGTTAAAGCCATGCATGCACTTCTTTCTTGCATGCACATATCTCTTCTTTGGATGTAACCCTGGTCTAAAATGTAGTGTTAAGTGCCTTCAATTTCTTTGAGAAATCAGTATAATATAGACACCCATGCCTGTTTTTGTTTTAAGATAAACCATTTTTATCCTGTATGCTGAGTAACACTAACACACCTGCACATGTGTGCATACACAGACAGACATACGAATCAGGTATTTGAACAATTGCAAACTGAGATACACAAGGTATTTTTTTTAGAGAATTCACTTGCTCGTACCGATTTCCTAGTTATAAAATAATGTAAACATTGACCTTTCATTTCATTGTTACCTCTCCCCCATACATTGCAGTACAGTATTTTGCATGTCTCCACAGAAGCAAGCCCTGTTGAGTTCACTGAAGCTTAAAGTGTTTGGGGTAAGTATTCACCTTCTTTTGATTTTTCCACAACCTGGAATTAAAATGGATTTAATTGGCATTGTTACCAGTTGATGCACATAAGATATTCAATGCTTTAAAGTGCAACTTTTTTTTTACTGAGGCACAAAATTTAAAGAAAGAGAAACACACTGGCAATTGTTGGTTATATAAGTATTCATGTGCTATCACATGCCTGAATAAGCTCTGGTGTAACCCATTGTCTGCAGAAGTCACATACTTCTGAGTTACATACACAGAATTATTCTTTTCAGTAAGCAGTTGAATGAAGTTTACCTGTGAGTAATTCTAGTGCCACATGACCTTTAATTAAATACACGTGCTACTGGAAGCCCCAGAGTTTATTGTAGAGCAAAACTACGTAATCAGCAGTATGAAGACTAAGGAACTATCACAACAACTCGACACATCAAACCTGACAGAGCTGGAACAGTTTTGCCAGGAAAAACCAGCAACACTAGATGCACAAAATCTAGATCTGTGAAGTGGACAGAGATGTACTCAAGAAAATGCATAGCTGGAATTGCTGCCAAAGACACTTCTACTAAGTACTGATTTGAGGATGAGGTGAATAGTTATGCAACCAACGAATTCTAGATTGTTTTTATTTACTTTTGTGCCAGAATAAAAATATTTTACACTTGACAATGTTGAGTTTTTTGCATACATCAACTGGTAACACTGCCAATTAAATCCATTTCAAGGAAATGTGGAAAAATCAAAGAGGGTGTGTGAATGCTTCTATAAAGCACTGTACTTTGTGCATAAGACTGCAGACTTAAAAGTTAAACAGTATGTTATACTTCCTTTATTAAGAAACATGCCATTCTTATGTACAATTTTCAATTCTGAATTAACCTTTTATTTTCACAAAAGTCATCTGTTGGTTCAGCCCTGATTTATTCCCCTTGGGTTATCTGAGCCAAAGTGTAATGTTGATGCTATTTGTAGTGTTACAGTAGAACTTAATGATGACTGTGCATGATAAATAGAACATAAGTCCTAAGAAATAAAGAAGTAAACATAAATAAATATTGCACTGGAATGTGGAAATTTAAGATACTCCATTGATATGATAAAAGTGGACAGAAGAATTCATCCTTTAATTGAGTAACATTGGGGTTTTGTTGTTGTTCATGCTAATCTCTCTGAGAATACCTTTTGAAAGTGAACTGCTGCTCAGCAAGGATGGAGAAATGTTGCTAGGCAACTAAGATTGCATAGAGACTACATTTAATAATCAAAATAACAATTTGCAATCTTTCTCCCTGGCATTTTAAAATACAAATGTGATGGGCAGTTTGTGCAGTTTACCCTGCTTAACTTGTGGATATATTAAATCTATTGCATGAACTGCAAAGATGCATCTCTAAAATGGTGGCTAGTCAAAATTGATTTGGAATTTCAGAGCTTGACTGCTAGTCAAGAAAATGAAAAGAGGAAGGCAGTTGGGTGATCATGGACACCGATGCAACCACAGCCATCTTTTCTACCAAGATGCCCTTGCACCCCATGTTTTTTTAAAGCAAAAATACACTTTGCATGTTTTAAGTTGGTATAAACTGGAAATGGATTATTGCTATGTTACTATGACCTGAAAAGCAGTGCACATGAAACCCTATTGCTTGGCACAAGGTATTTTTCTTCTAGATGCCATCACATAAACAGACTTTTGTTCAACTAGGCAGTAGAAATTGTTCTGAGTTTGTCTTGGCTGGTAGATGGGACTGTGTTTTGCAAGCTTCAGCTTCTTCTGTGCTGAAAAGCAACAACAAAATTTACTTTAGCATACATGATTGGAATACAACTTGTGCTACATAAAACTCCACTTAGGTTGCAGTCCTATGTCCAGTAGAACATACTGATATGCAGAGAATTGCACCATAACAACCTTGTCCTGTGGTTTGGACGTACTGTGCCAGGACAAGAATCTCTTGCCTCTTTCCTGAAGGACTAGAATTTGCCCTTGCTTCCTTGTCCAGGTGAGGCTATCTTTGAGAGCTCTAGCCCTCTGGACTTACATAGAAGGCCAGAGGGAATAGAATTGGCCTGTAAATAAAAGCAAACTGTGTTTAAGATGTTAAAATGGGTTATTTGATCTGTTCCAGAAGTTTAGTAGAAGTTCCCAGTTTGGCTTTTGCATGATGGTAGACAAGAAGTTATTTTAGTCTTCACTCCAGCCTCACAATCAGTGATATTCATCTTGCTTTACGAAGACTTCTGTGGTGGAGTCTAAAAATTATGAGAGCATATTGAATCACTGAAGTTCATTGTTTATAAAACATGGAATTTTGGCGGTAGGGGGTGGGCAGGCAGAGTCTTGACCATGTTCTCCCTTGAGCATTCAGTCACACTAGATCAGCTGAGAACTATTTTCCCAATAGGATTTTTTTTGAAAGCCTTGGTCCAGGTGCTTCTTTGCTGCCAGTTCACAGTTTTTAAAATCCTGTTTGGAAATACAGTTGTTAGTATATTAAAAATTGAGAGATTCCTTGTGCATAATTAAATATGCACCCTTCCCATTTTCTGTCAGTACTTTGATTTGAAATAAGTTTTCAATAGCATTTTCATTTAACTTTTTGTATTGATAATATTTTGGAAGGAAAAAAAATTATTATGCTCTATTTTGTCACCCTATTTTCGAAGTACCAAAATTATCACAATAACTGTGGTTTCTGGAATGAACTTTTTCCTGATGATTTCCCCCCTGTACTGACTTCTAGAGCAACGTTTCTTGGCTTTGTTCCTTCAAGGCGTGCTGACTACAGTTTCCATCATCCCCAAGCACAGTTGACTGGCTAGGTTGATGGAGGTCTTTCTAAGTTAGGCCATCTGCCACATCTGGAGAGCACCATGCTGGAAAGGCTTGCTCTAGAGAGTCAGAGTTACGTTTCATCAGTATGCTTGCACCTCTGTAACGATGTCTTGGCTTTGGTTTCTCCTCTGCCCACCTTCAAATTCTTCAGCATTTGTGTGTCCATTTGCAGTTCATTGCTTTAAATGAAGGCAAATGTGGTGCTGCTTTGCACAGGATACAGTTGTTGACCTAACAATCTTTTTTGTTTCTTTTAATGGGCAGTGGTTTTGATCAGCTCCTAAGCTACAGTTGCTTCTTTCTTCTTTGTTTCAAGCATACCTAAACTATAATTATAAAAGACAAATAGAAGGTCTTTCTGAAGCAGGGCGTCCTATTCCCAGATAGAGATCAGATCCATGGCTTGACTCCAATGCTGGATGCTTGATACTGCTAGTATATTGCTTTGTTGCAACTGCTGCATTTTTGTATCTTCCGATAAAATTTCTGGCTAGTAAAAGGCACCACAAAGACAATGTAGCAGCAGCGCATCTTTCCCCTCCCCCACCAGGGCCATCCGATAGCAACAGCACTGCAGTGGAAATTTCCACTGCCTGCCTCTGTGAGCAGACGAAAACATGAAGTTCCAAACCACCCAGTTTGGGGAAAGAATCTGTTTCCGTTTTAAAGGCATAACATGATAGCAGCCCACTGTTCTCACTCAGCAACATAATGAGAATTGATGAAATATAGGAAGGGACTTACATTAGGAGCAAGCTGTCAGTCATTACTGGCAAAGGATGCAGAGATTATATGTTCATTTAAAGTGTTCAATTTACATCATTTTCTTTTGGGAGGATTAGGTGAACACAACCTCCAGGAAAATGTTGAGGTTTGAAAAAATATTTCTTGAATTCCTCTCTTGCTTGTTTTGCAGGAAGATCTCATTAAGATAGAATTCTGCAAGCTCCACATGAAAGGCAATAGAACAGATCCCTTTTGTCAGAGTCTACTAAAGCTAGATCCCTAAACAGGCATTTTTCTTTTTTACCTTTCAGACCACATCAGAGGTTTCTATACTTGCTGGATCACTGATTCACAGTTGATATTAACATCTGCTGAATATGGTGGTTTATATGTAAATCTGCTGCATATGGTTGTTTATGTGTTGATATATCCTCTTCTTGCTAGAGGAGAAATTTTCCCATTGAAAATGCAAAAGGAAATAAACGCCAGCACCAAAAACTTAATAATCAAATTGGGATGAATGTTACCAAATGAATTCCATATTTACAAATACATGTAACAAATTCTATAGCTACCAAAAGTAAAAGCAAGCAACTAGTACATCTTCAGAATAAATAAACATGAAATATTCATAGATATATGAACTAATAACTAACACCAACATTTATGTTTTGTCTATAATTATTTCCATTGTTCTGGTAATATTACAGTCAACTTCTTACATACATGCAAGGTATGGAGGAATAGACTGTACCTTTCAGCCAAATCTGCCGAAGTGCTGTAGTGGTATCACCCATAAATAAGGTATAAATGGATGGTTATAAATAATAGGAAACCAAAAAGTCAGCATTCCCAAATTTGAAATTTTATCTCTGAAATTCCCAGATCCAGAATGTGTTAGATTACACTAAATAGGTTAATTTGTAATTTTTACCTCATTGCAAACTTTTGTCTGTAATGCTGCCAGAGGAAAGTTGCAGTAGAAAAGTGGTGGGGAATTAAGTAACCCTTCCTACTATCTCTGCTATTCATTGGTAGCTACTGTATCCTAATGGAAGTGGACATTTGGCTTTTGTCGCTCATTTCAAGGTCAGCAATTATTAAGTGTCCATGGTTACAATGATGTTCTGAAAGTCTATAAGATCCATGAAATAAATTTCCATTATTCCCAATTGTACATGAAAGAGATCTGAAATGTTCTCCTTGCTCAAGGTAAATACTGTGTTCATGGCAGAGGGGAAGCATTTGTCTTAATGCTGAGAATTTCAGGCAGTACTTAGAAATGTGTGAAAACCTCTGAAGTGTTGCCAAAGCACTGAGGTCTTCAGTAAGGTATGCTGAGCAGCTCAGTGAATGCCAAGCTTCTTAAGTTGGTGCTACCTATCTTTAGTTGTGCCTTGTGCCCTCAAGTAATCAGAAATCTTAAACCAAACAGGCATTAACTATTTGCAACTTTGAACTTACACCTTTGTTTTATAAGAAAAAGACTTCTTCTTGCACCAGATTTTCGACAGAAGAAATACAGTCTATCTCCCTGATACTGTCCATACCTCAAATGCTGCATGGCAACACTCTGCCAAGGATGGGAGGAAATGCACAGAATGTAAATACTCATTCACAATCTCCTGTATACATGTTCTAAACCTGTGCTCAGCAACAGTGAATGACAGACCACAGACCAGGAAGTGGAGAGTATTTTTTAAAGCAAGTCACCTCCTTTATGGAAGTTGCTCAAGAACATGACTCCAACCCACATTTCACTTCAATATATTTGACTCTGGACTGTATTTCTTGCATCCCAAATAATCAGGATTATTTATTCATTCCTTACATGTTCTAATTTCTGCATGCTTGCAATTTCTGCTTGCTTGCCTCTTCCTCCACTCACAGCAATTTGGTGAGTGGAGTGAAGTGTTTCAAAGAGTTTCATTCTTCAAAACTTGCAGCCATCTGTAAAGATTCCATGTGAGAGTGGTGCCATTTCTAGAAAAAGCCAGCTCAGCCTGTGGCATGCTATGATTTGAGCCTTTTGACCTTTCAGCACATTTCTTCAGTGGCTGTTGGGTTTTGGTACCTAATGGCTGAGTTAGGGTGCTACATAAAATAAAGCATACATTTCTCCCCATATGCAAATATAAGGACCACAGTTGTGCCAGACACATTGGGCAGTGGGAGGATGAGAGTGTCCCATCATCCTGCCTAGCAGTCTGCACAAGAGGTCACTGTGTCACCAGAAGGATTCCTTTAGCTGCTCTGTCTGGTTTCATGTGTGCGTGGTCTCGGAGGAGGATCAGAGAAGAAGCCTTCCCTTCTGGTCTGTTCTTAACTAAATAGCTTGGCACAGGCTACAACAGCACCATTGCCCATTTCCCTCCTACTCACCCTTGTCTTGCAGCAAACATCACCTTACAATGGACAGGTTAGCTGCCGAGTCTGGGAAGAAAGGAATTTTACCTACATTTGCAGTAAGCTGGCTCAAGCCATGACGTTTTCACTCCCCCCGCCCACCCTAGCAATGCTATGTGTTGTGTGTTCAGTTACATCACATTCAACTTTATAGCAGATCTTGAAGGAATTGGGCAGGGATAAATGGGGATGACCTCCCACTGGGGGCTTTCCTTTAGGGATATTAACAGTGACATTCCCAGTCCAAGTTATGCTTCTTGGTACTCATCCTAGTTGTTTGACAAGTAAATAATGAAAAAAAATATTAGAATGAATATGCTGCTGTGTACTTGTCAGTTCTGTAGACATTAAAATATGTAAAATGCTTTCTTCCTTGGAATTTTTTCCTACAAGTCCAAAAAAGTTCAGTTCAACTTAGAAACTAAGTTTAACTCTTTATTTTGGTATTTAGCATTATTTGTTACTGTAATGTTTTTTATTTCCAGGTATTTCTTGGTAGACTTCCATTCTTCACCAACAATTATTTCAGCCCTCAAGGACCATTTAAGACGTGACATTGATATAGTCAGATCTACAATTATAAAGCAACATGTAAAGACAGAAGAATGTATGGGCATAATCCCAGTAAGCAATGCAGATTTACTAACTAGGAAGAAGAAATAAATGAATGAAACTCATGGAGACCTTGTTGTTAGCAATTTGACTCAAGCTGTAAGCATCTACAATTCACACAGAGTCAGTATGTACTAATCACACTATGTGTGGAGTGTGGCACTCCGTTCCAGCATATTTTATACATGCTTATTTGCAAATAGGTCCTATGTAACAAAGTGGAACTGAAGTAGAAATGTGTAGGATAAGTCAGGATATTGTATAGACAGCAGTAAGGCTCTTCTGTAATGTAAATAAGAGTATAATGGCATGTGAACATTTGTTAATTATGGCAATAAAATTACAACAAGAACATCTACATCCTGGTTTATAAAAGAGTTAAAGAGACAAAAATGACATAGGAATCATTCTCTAGTATGCTCTTCCTCGGTTTCAGTGCAAATAAACTTAAGTGTTATGTCATGAACATTTAAGAAAAAAATATGGCTTTATGTACAGTTTTAATTTTACTTCTTCTAAAATAAAAACAGGTGATACATTGTCATGTTTTCCTGTTGGTTTTTACATGCTTCATGCAATGGACACGTGTGTTTGATATTTCTGATTCTCCTCCCTCCCTCCCTCAAAAGGCATCTTCACTGGGCTGATAAATTCAAAAAGAGCTTGGCAATTTCCTCATTTTACTCTCTTTACATGTTCTACTTTTTTCTTCAAGCTGTCCGTAAGACATCCAGTATTCCAGGTGCAAAAAAGAGCCAATGTGATGAGGTGGACTGGGGACCTGGGAGTGGGGATGTGTGAGGAATCTGTCTTAGGGGTTTGTCAGATTCCTGGGCTCAGTTCCCCAGGCTCTGCCCTGCTTTGGTGCCCAGTGTTTGCACCACATTCACCCGGAATTGAGCCCCATGTGAACACTGAGCAAGCAGCGTCCCTCTTCTGCATCACACACGGCAGTCTTTGTTTTGTGCTGCTGCACATGATATGAAAGAAAGTTGCTGTTTGTGCAGCCAAGTGTCCATGGCCTTCCTCTTGACTTGGCTGGATTTCTAAGACAGGGCTGGCAACGAGAGGAAGTGCACGAACACTTGGGGGACAGAAGCCACAGAGCTTCATCCTACCTGGGAGATTCAGGTTCTAGACCTGCTTAGCCATGAAGCTCACTGGATGAGTGGACCACTCACTCACTCTTAATGTAACCTACCTCACAGGGTTATTGTTAAGATAAACTGGAACTATATAAGCCACCTTGGGTTCTTCACAATATGAAAAGGTTGGGATATAAATGCGATGTCACAACAGAAACAGCTATTTTAAGTTGCAGAACAGTCCTCACTTGGTGTTCCCAGCCAGCTTTGGACTGGAGGGGCCCAGAATAAGAACTAAAGCAGTAATTCTGTAGTCCCTTATTTTAGAGTAAGTTCCATTGGATTTTGTGGGCCATCTACGTAGACATGTAAAAGATTGCATCATGCATGCGTTCACTGTGATGTGGCTGCTGTTATTATTGTGCTGCAGCTATTATAGTCTAATTACATACCATAATATGAATTTTGATCTCTGTCCCTTTTGGAATATACTTTCTCACCTCTTGGAGGACCTGATACTGTAGCATTGCTAAACTGAGCAAGTGAATAGCATAATTCTTTATAACTCCTACAGCAACTGAAAGAAGACTTCAGCCACTAAATTGATGGATTTAAAATTCTAAGTGGTGTCTTGAATACCTAGGCTTGCTTACCCATTATTTTATACTAATGTTAGTATGAAATAGTTTCTAAATATATGCCTAAATAGTCTTTCCTCTAAGTTTTGTGTGAATAGTCCACTGATTTAGTATCTCATGCACACTGATAAAGATTCACATCTATTAAACATATATTTAAGTTTTCTGCCAAAGTCAGTAATTTGCTATTTTAAGGTACTAGTTTGTAATAGCTTTGAAAGCCCACATATAATTGAAGCTCTGTTTGGAGTATATATTGACAGAATGCCAAATGTTCATGTAGTCTCGGGTAAATGACATTTTTAGTAAGCTGACCAAAGAACCTGCTGTACAAGTAAGCTCACGGTATGTTCTTCATCCTAAAGTCCCAGGGCATAAAGTCCTAGTAGAGGCACCTGGAAAGTTACAATTTGCCAGTAATACTCTTACATTATAGATTTCTGTGTTACCTGTCTTTATGAAGTGTGGTGGTTTCGGTGACCTTATTGAAGTCCAAATGTGTTAAGAGTATTGAATTGCTGGCATCACTTTCATCTATGAAAATTAAGTTTGCATTTTCTGAGCATTTGGCAGTATGCTTCAACCAGGCAAGGGTACAATTATTTTGCAAAAGATAGGAGCCAATAAGAAGAGAGCATTTGGTTAATATCCAATTGACAAAGCCCCATTCATTTCAATGGGCCTACTCTGTGTAGGACTAATATGGGAGACACAACTATTGGGACTGGGCTATTTAAGGTATAATTAAGATGACAGGGTAAAGGAATTGCTGAATAAGATTTAGAGTTCTTCCAAGTAGACCTCTCCTAGCACTACCAAACAGGCAGAACACGTTTCTCCCTCTAATGCCATTTTGTGGCAAGAAGATGCAATGGGAAAACACAAGAGAGTTACAAATGGAAGGCAATGTTTTACCAATGTCTAACCCATTGGTAAAATTCCCTATTTGAGGCAGGGCAATTGCACAATGTATGCCTTGTTTGGGAGTTCCCTGAGTATAAGTGATGCATAGTGCAGTGTAATAATTCTGAACTTCATTCATCCTCTGACTGAACCTAAAACTGGGGTTCATATAATTGGAATGGTCACTAAAATACCAGCTAAGTGTGTTAAAATTGTTGTTGTTAGTTGCAAAGTCGTGTCCGACCCATTGCAACCCCATGGACAACATTCCTCCAGGCCTTCCTGTCGTCCACCATCCCCCGGAGTCCACTTAAGCTCATGCCCAACTGCTTCAGTGACCCCTTCTAGCCACCTCATCCTCTGCCATCCCCTTCTTCTTTTGCCATCTATTGTTCCCAGCATTAGGGTCTTCTCCAGGGAGTCCCTTCTTCTCATTAGGTGGCCAAAGTATTTGAGTTTCATCTTCAGTATCTGGCCTTCTGAAGTGCAGTCAGGGTTGATCTCCTCTAGGACTGACCGATTTGATCGCCTTGCGGTCCAAGGGACTCGCAGGAGTCTCCGCCAGCACCACAATTCAAAGGCCTCAATTCTTCGGTGCTCAGTCTTCCTTATGGTCCAAATTTCACAGCCATACATTGCAACTGGGAAAACCACAGCCTTGACTATACGCACTTTTGTTGGCAGGGTGCTTTCTCTGCTTTTTAGTATGCTGTCTAGATTTGCCATAGCTTTCCTCCCCAGGAGCAAGCGTCTTTTAATTTCTTGGCTGCAGTCCCCATCTGTGGTGATCTTAGAGCCCAGGAAAATTAAATCTATCACTACCTCCACTTCTTCCCCATCTATTTGCCAGGAAGTGAGAGGACCGGATGCCATGATCTTAGTTTTCTTAATGTTGAGTTTCAAGCCAACTTTTGCACTCTCCTCCTTCACCCGCATCAAGAGGCTCTTTAGTTCCTCTTCACTTTCTGCCATTAAGCATCATGTAATAACAGTGGCAACAAGGCAGTTTCAGTGTTGGGGATCCTTAAAAAGGTCCTAAAAATGCATTGGCAATTACTGTAATACCATTTGCTATAAACATGTAATTAGGCCCACTTGGAAAATGCTTGTCATCTTCTCACTGTACATTGCATGCTACTTAACATGTACATTGAAGTAGTTACAAAAAGCAGTTAAAATTATTAGAAGCTGCAGCAACTCTAAGACTAAAGTGATAGGGACTTAAATGGGAAAGGCAGTTAATGACGGAGTAATAGATTAGTTTTCTTTTCTAATTTGACTAATTGAAGAAAGACTTCAAGTGGAAAATTTATTTTTCTGTTTAGTATTTGTATAGCGCTTTTCAAACCTCACAAAATGATTTATATGACATTTAAAGTATTTTAATCATATAATAAACAGTGAATATGAGCAGCACAAGGGGAAATTTATTATTTTGAAAGCCAGATTTCTTCTAGTTGATGGTTCCTGAGTAGCCCTGCAGTGGCTAGAAGTTAGTTACACTGGTAGCATTTTGTCCAAGAGTTCGCTAGTTGCAAACACTCTTGTAATGGGAGAGAAAAGGGGAGAAGCATATTTATCAAAGAAGGAAATGTGCAGGGTAAAGAATAACTTTTCCTTGGAATAAATAGCTTTTTAAAATGCATATTTAAGGGGGAAATGCCCAAGCCTTGTCAGTTTCCTATTTAAATAATGTTGGTTACGTTTAAAGGGGTGGGGCCATCTATTTAAACAGATGGTTTCTTGGAAATGTTACTTGAATTAAAACCAAACATAGCTGTGTTAAATAAGGAAAAATGAAACCTAGTATCTGCTAGCGCAATGCCTTGGATTAGGCCAACCAAAACATCAAGAAAGTGTGAGCTTTCAAGACTTCCAGATCACTTAATCAGGCACTTAATCAGATACTAGCACAAGTAAGGAGGGATGGAGAAAGGGAAGGGGTTGATAAAGATTTGATAGTAAGGCTAACAATAAGGACATCTGAAGTGAGAGTTCAGCCAGAGCTGAATCTCAGCCCAGGGGATGAAAATTTAGAAGCAGATGGGGGTGTATATTCCTGGAGTATGCGGTGCCAAAGGCAACATTCCTAAAATAACTATGTTTTGCCTCTTACTGCCAGTGACTAGGTTTTAGGAGAAGCATTTGAGAATGAGGAAAATCAGTGGTAGTGATGGCTGCCAACATACTGGGCACAGTGGTTTAAACCGCTGTGCTGCTGGGCTGGTTGATTGAAAGGTTGCCGGTTCGATTCTGCACAATGGAGTGAGTTCCCATTGCTCTGTCCCAGCTCCTGCCAACCTTGCAGTTAGAAAGCATGCAAATGCAAGTAGATAAAAAGGTACCACTTCGGTGGGCAGGTAACAGTGTGCCGTGCACTTCGGTGTTTAGTCATGCTGGCCACATGACCACGGAGACTGTCTGCAGACAAACACTGGCTCCCTCGGCTAGGAAACAGAGATGAGCACCGCCCCCTAGTGTCAGGCATGACTGGGCGTAATGTCAAGGGGAAACCTTTACCTTTACCTTTACTTATTATATTTTCATATCCAAGAGCTGAAGCTCTGTAATTACACAAATCCATGGAAAGCAAGGCTATCAATGATTCCTAATGGTGATAAGTGTATTACTTCTGGTGTCAAAAACAGTATCCCTCAGGGCCACTTGCTGGGGATCACAAGCTTGAAGGTCCTATTGTGCTCCTGTTTTCTTCATGAACTTCCCACAGACCATTGTGTAACTGAAGAAAGGTCTTTGGCTGGATCCAACATGGATCTTCCTGTGGGTTTAATCTGAGCTCTCAAACAGAAAAGCGACTTCCGTTGGCACATTCAACTAACTTTGGCATTGAAAGGGACAGAGAGAGAACTAGTTGGAGGGAAAATAAGTTTATCTCCACCCCTGCCCCTCCACTGA